CAAAATGGGAGGCCCTTGGCTTACTTTAGTAAGGCGTTGGAGCCAAAACATCAGATCCTATTTGTCTATGAAAGGAAATGATAGCTGTATTAATAGCTACAAAGAAATGGAATGCCTAATTGGTTGGAAGGCATTTCAAGATAAAAATAAACCATCAAAATCTAAAATTTCTTCTAGACCAACGGGCTACTACTCCAGCTCAACAAAGGTGAGTGACAAAGATGATGGGCTACGATTATGAAGTATCTTACAGGAAAGGTTCAGCTAATACAGTGGCTGATGTGCTATCAAGAAATCTAACAATGCAGGGTTCTCAACTTATGGCCATTTCAGTAATACAGAGTAACCTATTACAAAGAATTCAAGATTCTTGAAAGCTTGACGCTAGATTACAGAAATTGATCAATGCACTTTAAGTCAATCCCGGATAGAAGAATTCCAAGTATACCTGGGGACCAGTTGCGGAGAAAAGGAAAGCTTGTAGTTGGTAACCATCCTGAATTAAGATGAGAATTGATGGCTTATTTCCAAAATAGTCCCTCGAGAGGCCATTCAGGGACACAGGCCACCATTGATAGAATTGTTGGTGTATTGTATTGGAAAGGATTAAGGAAGGAAGTGAAAAGGATGATTAGAGAATGCATCACTTGTCAACAGAACAAATGTAATAATTCTGCTACCCTTGGACTACTCCAGCCTCTACCTATTCCTGACAGAGTTTGGTCTGATACAGGTATGGATTTTATCGAAAGGCTACCAACGTTAGGGGGAAAAGATGTTATTTTGGTGGTGGTCAACAGGTTAAAGTAAATACATACATTTTATCGTCATAGCCCATCCTTTTACAGCACTAACAGTGGCTCAAGTCTTCGTGGATAATATTTTCAAGTTACATGGCATGCCTAGCAGTATAGTCTCTGATAGAGACAAAAGTTTAATGAGTACCTTTTGGCAGGAGCTATTTAAAAGATTTGGAACTTCTCTAAAGTTTTCTACTGCATACCATCCTCAAACTGATGGTCAAATCGAAATGGTGAATCGATGCTTAGAAACCTACCTAAGACGTATGACTGGTGAGCGACCTAAGGAATGGAGTTAATGGTTGGCTTTAGCTGAGTGGTAGTACAATACCACTTACCATTCAGCCATTCACAACTCTCCATATGAAGTTGTATATGGCCAAGTACCTCCAGTCCATCTTCCCTATTTGGCTGGTGAATCACTGGTAGCTACAGTTGACAGAAGCTTGCAAGCAAGGGAGGCTGCTATCAGGATGATTAAATTCTACTTACAAAGGGCTCAGAACAATATAAAGGTGATGGCTGATAAACGAAGGAGTGAAAGGGAATTTAAAGTTGGAGATTGGGTCTACCTTAAGCTCCAACCTTACAGACAACCATTTATGGGTAACAGGCATTGTATGGAACTATCTGCTAGGTACTTTGAGCCCTTTGAAGTGTTGGAAAAGGTTGGTAAGGTAGCATATCGGTTGCAACTACCACTGGGGTCTCAAATTCATCTTACTTTTTACGTGTCTCAACTCAACCAACACATTGGCAATAGCCCATTCAAAGTTAGCTTCCTGTGATTGGCACTGATGGCACCATTATCAAGGAACCATTGCAGATTCTTGACCAAAGGATGGTAAAGACGGCAAATATAAGGAAATATAAGGATGGTAAATTGTCAAGGACATTTCCTGAAGATGCTACTTAAGAGCTGCTATACAATCTGCAAAAGCAATATCCACACTTTAATCCTTGAAGACACGGATTGTTTTGACAAGAAGGGTATTTGATGCAGGATGATAAGTAATTTAGTTAGTGAGCCCATTATATGAGTCTAGTAGTCAGTCAAAAGGTTCATTAGAGCCGAATACTTATTCAGCTTGGTAAGCCCATTGTGGTATTTTCTTATTTTCTATCATATTTTAGTGGGAAGTCGTTACGTAGAGAGCTGTAATTTCGAGATTCTCGAAGGGGAGAAGGAACGCATACAGCATTAGAAGAATGCATAGTAACAACAGGCCATGAATTAAGAAAATTCCTTTCTCTTTGGAATTCTCTGGTCTTATTTCCCTTTTCTTCTCTGTTCTTCTGTATTCACTCAACTTGAGTGCACCACCATTCCTTCTATAATGAAGGACTATTACGGGATCTTTAGTAGAATTTTTATAATTGATTGAAGATTAGAAACAAAACTAGAAAGTTAAATTTATTTTTTTTTTAAATTTACGTGAGCATGTCTTAATATATGTTACAAATTTATTACTATTTTTTAGTATAATAAATAGATAAATAATAATATGATTTTAATTCCACTTAAATTATAAGATATAAAATTAGATTAAAAATAAAAAAATTAATAAAAAATAATTTTAATGTGAGAGCCAAGTTAAATTAATTTAATCTAAATATATATGAAATAATTATAATATATTTTTAAAGGGTTTTTAAATTTTTTGAGGTCAAGGCCCCATGCGGGAATAATAGATCCGCCAGTGTTTTGTTTGTATCGCAAATGATTTATTTGGCTTAAAACCTATGTGGGAAGGGTGAACCAATAAACACAAACGTAACATAATATTGTCAATCTGTCGAGAATTTTGGTAGTGCAAATCCTATTCCCAAAAATAACATCTAATTTTATGAAACCAAACATTCCAGTCAAAGAATCCGTCCTCCTATTAAGTTAGGGGTTTTTAAATACACCATTCATATTTCTCTTTACATCTCATCAATTTTTTCTAAAAATAATCACATAATAAATATTAAATTTTTTAATAAATTATAAATTTATCCTCTTCTTTTTCTTTCTTTTTCTTCCTCTTTTCATCTTTTTTTTTATACCCAGTCGAATATAGATTTTTTATGTTTGCAAAATTTCATTTATGAAAATATAGCATAATTTTTGAAAATTATGCTATATTCTTGAAAATTAATTTTTAAATTTATGTTATATTTTCGAAAATGAAATTTTTCATAAATTAATTTTTGAGATTCTTAAAGATTTTTCAAAAATAAATTTTCAAAAGCCTTAAAAATTCTTTGAAAATATATTTTTGAGAAAGTAAAATTTTGTGAAATCCATTTGTAAACTCTAATATATTTTCGCATGTATTTAAATCAAATCAAATAAAATAAATCTTAAAATCTTACTTTTAATCAATGAAAGACTCAAAAAATCATGTAACTTTGGAGTTAATTTGATGAATTTAGCGTTAATTTGGATTTGAGATTAAAGAGAAAATAAAAAAAAAAAAAAAAAATATATTGAGGGTATGAAAGGAAAATCAATTGTTGAGAGATGTGATGCATTTAATATAAATATAAAATTTAAATATAAATTTGAGATATATTTAGTAATAAGGTGTATCAAGTAAAAATGGGGGTGTAAATATAATTCTCCCTTATGTTGCTTTATATTGTGGAGGATTTCAATTTTTTGACTTAAATGCCCCTGTTTGAACATTGTTTTGGTCCAAATTGTCATTGAAATGTTACTTAAAATTACACCAAAAACAATTTTCATTATAAAATCAAATGAAAATAATTATTTTATATATTTTCATTTAAACTTAACCCATAAATGCCATAAGATTTTTCATTTTTTTTATTTTCTATATTTTCAAAGCAATGTAATCCATAATTCTATAAAAAAAAAAAAATCATGCTTCTCTTTGTATTTTCTAATTTGAGTTTTCTTTCACCATTTAGGTCTAAAAGTTTTATTTATTTGATTTAAATCCATTTTCAAAAACTTTTAAGATTTTTTAAAAATTCATTTCTTATAGTTCTAATCGCACAAAAACATTCAATATGAAATTTTACGAAATTAACATAAAATCAAATAAAAAATAAAAAAAACAAACGATTTATGTTTTATTTTAAGTTTTTTTTTTTATTTTAAATGGGTAAAATTTCTTTTGAATATGGCTTGATTAGACTTAAAATCCTTTAAAGTTTTTGGTTGGAAAGAGAAAGAGGAGATGGAGTGTGACAGAAAGGGAGATGAAGTATTTGTGAGTTTTTTTTTTTGGTAAATTTATGTTTTGAGTATGGGATGGGGTTGAGTAAAGGGTAATTAAGTAATTTTATTTATAAAAAATTTAAAAAAATTGAGACATGAAAATAAAAGGATATGGAGCATTTAGCAACACTCATCTTATGTTTTTTAGGATTTCAATGTTTGACTAAAATGCCACTGTTTGAACATTATTTTGGTCCAAATTGTCATTAAAATGTTACATAAAATTATACCAAAACCAATTTTCATTATTATTTTTTTTATAAAATCAAATGCAAATAATTATTTTGTATATTTTCATTTAAAATTAACCCATAAGTGTCATAAAAATTTTCATTTTATTATTTTCTAATAATTTCAAAGCAATGTAATCCATAATTCTTTAAAAAATTATTCATGTTTTTCTTTGTATTTTCTAATTTGAGTTTTCTTCCACCATTCAGATCTAAAAGTTTTATTTATTTGATTTAATAATATATTTTTAAAAACATATATGATTTTAAATTAGGTAAACTCTACCTACACTCTTTGTAATTGCAACTTTTTTATATAATAATACCCTTTGTTTTCAATTAAAACTTTAACTTCACTCAATAAAATTATCAAATACTCTATCAAAAAAATATCTTATTTGTTCACACTTAAAAGTAATAAAGTGTTGTATTTAAAAAAACCAAAAGAAAAAAGTCATAGAATTGTCATATTGTAAAATGTATATTACGTCATAATTTGTTCATGTAAAATTAATGATATAACCTTTATAAGAGTAAAGCTTAACCACTAAATGTTTATAGAAAAAAAAAATACTCACAAAATACCATATAAGCTAAAACCAATCATTCGTCTAAATAAAATGTTAGATTTTTAATTTTAATAACCTAAGTATAATCTCCAACAATTGTCAAACATAAAATAAGAAAAGCCAAAACGGCAGAAAATTTTGGATGAAACGTATAATCTAAGTGATTTAAAAAACAAAATTACACAAGATTTTAATTATATTGAGAGACCATTTTAGTAAAATTATTATGTATTTTGTGAGAAAACCAAACACATGACCTTCTACCCTCAGTTTGCCTCACGAATCTTTGGAGGAATTTTTTTTATTTTTTTCAAAAAGCATTCAAAATGCCATTAATCAAAACATCCTGTAGGGATAATACCTATTGGGTTGTTCATGTTTTACCTATACGGGTGTGGGAGACTAACCTGTGTGGATCATTCTTTTGTTTGTTATCCGAAGCTTCCACTGAAACATTTAAAAAGAGGCCAAAAGAGAAACGGAAAGATTGAAAATTAGAAACATCATATCTGAATCTGAATCTAATCTTCATCTATGCACAGGAACAGCTACTGGTTTAGTTTCACAAAACAAAAATGAGTCCAATTCCAGTGTCAAAGTGAAACAAAATTGAGTTTGAGTTCCAGTATCAAAAGTAATTGTGCATGACTCAACTCATTCAGCTTCAAGTTCAGCACCAAATTGTTCCAATCGGGCAGCATCCTCGTCCAAATCCCGCAGCAAAGCATGATTAACCACTCCATCATCTTCACTTGCATGGATCTGTTTCCCACCAAACCTAAATCAAAACAAAAACAATAACACAATTACAACCAAGAAACTTTTAGAATAAAAAACGATAAAGATTCAAATAACATCAAGACCCTAGTATTCGCTAGTTTAGAGTTTCATTACTGTGCATTCATCTTTTTGATAAAATTACATTTGATATTACATGTTCAAGTTCGTCCTTGATGACAATGAAAAGCATTTAAATGCCATTACCATTCTAGAGTATCAAACAACCAAATCTAGGAAAATGATTGATTTCAGTTGATTCATATATATTATTAGTCAATGAAGGTTACCTAACTTTATAAATGGCATGCCTGTTTTTCTATCTACAAAGTTTAACAAATTCAATGCAAGCTAATTGTACAAGAAATATTCAGCAGTAGACAATCAGTTACATAAAACTCCAGTCACCAAAAATTAGTTGTGGGTCTTTCACGAGCACTACTTGTTGCTTTTTATGTAAAACATTTACCAAAGAAAGGAACTAACATAGATAATCAACTATAGTACTTAATATGATTGTAATTACATGACTCAGTCTGAGATTTACTGGTGAATTGATGCACTAAAATTGCTTCTTAACCACTTAAAATTGAATGGTCATCGCCTTCTCTTGTTTTTTTCTTTTTGTTTTTTGATGGAGTAATCACCTCAAAACCTTTTATTTTTCCCTCTTTTGGTTATTTGATGGAATTATCATGCCAGTAACTGTTATTTTACAAAATAAAAAGCAAGCTTTCCAAGATAAAAATTACCATCGTCCATTCATCAACTCTATGCACTTTTGAGCATCCTTCCTATCCTTATATTTTACCAAAACAACACCTTGGGGATTATTCTCACAAACCTGCAGGACAAAACAAACCAAAACATATAAAAGGGAGAACATGTAATTAAATTAGGAACAATCACTCTGCAAGGTTGAGCCAATCATGTACAAGAATCTAGGTAGTGCAACTTAGATATTAATCACCAAAATAAGAAAGGGGAATAGACGGATAGAGAGGACAGATAGACAGACAGATAGACGGATATAGAACATGTAGGCCATGACTTATTACTCACTAAAATGAACACCGGTTACATAATGAGACAATTTAGCTCTCTATAGGCATGCACAAGCATGCATCTTTTTCTAGTATCTACGAACACAGAGCTTGTAGAATAAAGGAGATCCTACAGATCTAGACCTTTTTGAATTCAAGGATGAAAATCTTATGAGTGAAGGAAATGGATTTTTTTCATTTTAGGGGGCATGGAAGCCTAAGTTAAGACATTTCATCAGATGATACTATCCTGTCTCCATAGTTTTCTGATTAGCATTCCTAAAAGTAGTAAGACCATACAATTCAAGGAAACCACTTTTTTATAGGGTACAAATATGCCTAGAATAATTTGCCAGGTCAATTTAGTTGTTAACACCAGTGTTGTCAAGGTGCACGCCAAGACAAGAGAACAACAATACACCTAAGGCCCTTTCAGGTAGGCACATTAGATCAGGTGCATACCTGGTGTACCTGGGCACAGTTTTTTGCAAGGCATTAGGTGCAAAAAAATAAAAATAAAAATAAAAGAGCCCACATGATTGAAGGTTTCTTTTTTTTATTTGTTTTAAAAATTTTCCATTAGATGTACCTTAAATAGTAAAAAAAAGAAAAATGAAGAAGAAAGAGACCATATCAAACTCTCTACTTGTCAATCTTTGAGTGTTCAAAAACAAACATGGGATCATAAGGAAATTATGCATATTGACCAAAGAAAGAAAAAGGGAAATGTGCATGTTTTGTAGTATAAAAACAGACCACTCTTTGCAGTTTATTATCAGAGTTCTATATATCTTAAGCTTATTATATATATACATGCATATACATATTCGCCTCACACCACTCAGGCAAGCATATTTTTTGCACCTTGAACATCCGGCAATATAAGAGTTCTAGCACCTGTAGTGCACCTTGCAACCTTAACACAACACCTGTTTATCCCAAATCTCCTTACAGCATTCGACCCCCCTTTCACCACAATCTCTTGCTGTCCTTTCCCGGAGGAAGGATTTTGATCCTTTTTTAGGTTTTAGGCAAGTTTCATGTAAAGATTATAAGGCAAGGAAATTTTGCTCTATGCAGCCTTGTCAAATACTCATTGAAAGAAAAAAATTTAACAAATAAAAAAGAAAGAACAAATAGTTGCAGCCCTAGAAGCTTTTGGTCAAACCAAGAAGCGGGGAAAAAAATGTCTAGGAGTTTTAATTAAGAACAGGAATTCTCTAAACCATTTCAGCTCCATGTTAGCATGAGAAAACCATCTCCTCAGACAAGCTCATGGAATAGGGGGAAAAGGCTCATGGCTTCTAATAATTACAAGAACCCTTGAAATGAATTTCTCAAAAGCGTATTGGAGATAGAAGAAGAACTTCTAATATCTAACAAAAGATTGACGGAGTTAAGAAACAATTCAATCATAGCTCCACAATAATACCTAAATGTAGGAGTTATCAGCCAAGACTAAGCATGAGTATGGTCATTTATGACATATGGTCTAAAACAGAAACATATATCAAAATTACTCAGATGAGCTTATGGTAAAAGGTTATATTACCTTGACTAAGTCCACTGGACCAAGCTTTACGCATTCCTCTTTAATGTCATCCTCCAGCTCTGAACATAAATTTTCATCTGCCTGCAGAGATAAGGGGAAAATCAACTCACAACACCATGTAACATACAAATAGAATCTGTAGGGCCCTGACATTATCACTATTGATAATACCCACATTCAAAGAAGAAGATTAGATAGTAATCTTAGATTCAAAATAGTAACAGTAAAGTAGTATCTGATGCAATCATATGGGCATTTGGGGAATGCTTCATGCAAATGACCATGGTTTCAAGCATACCCTCATTTCAGCAGGAGTGAACATGTTACGAAGGACAACAGTTGCTGGAATTGTCACCTTTGCATCATCACGACCACCTGCATCATATATAAAAACTAACATTGAGGAAGCAAGTGTTGCACAAGAGAAATCTTACAAGAGAAACTATTTAAAAAAACAAAGGAATTTCTTGAAACCAATGCTGAAAAGCCACTCAAATCCAATACAAAAGTTAGTATTGTACATAATTCTAAATCATTCAATCTCACGATGTGTGCCCTCTTTTTTTTTTTTTTTACGAACATTGCTGATTAATACTAGCAGAAACTACAATGCAGAGTAGGTCTATTTTTCATATTATTCAATTCAACAAGAAATAACAAAATAAAATGTTCTAAAATAAAGAGACTTTCAAATAAGACATGTCACATTAAAAGTTTCAAGTTCTAACCATTGGGTGAAAGAAAAAGAAAAATATATGAAAATTGGAAATGAAAAAATTAATAACACATAAAAACAAGGGAATGAGCCATGTAAGGAGTAGATAATTTGATCAGCATTCTAAATTTCTTCCATCTATAGACAAGATGGTATCAACAATATTACCATATTAATTCCGAACAAATTGATTTCATAAAATAAAGATAAAGGGGAAGACTGAAAATGAAAGTAGGAAGAACAACTTCACAATCATCATTTATAATACAGCACTATAACATGCAAGATGAGAACCCACCCCATCCGAGCATCCTCTCCTCAGCTTTCTTCAGTTTCTTTTTCTTCCTGCTATCAACTTGTTTGGTTATAAACTTATCCCCTGCATTATAGCAATAGAAGCTTATCAATAAAGCAAGACAGCATCTAAGATAAAAAATAGTTCAGTACTTGACTCTGCAAAGAAATGTATTCAATTAACCAATGATAAGAAAAAAGAAAACAACTACGAAAATAATTCAAAAGGACAACATTTCAAAGTTTAAAGCAACAGCAGCAATCATTCTACCTTTCTGCTCAAATTTAGCTTGGCTGACTGACATAGGGATCTTGCCACTGGGACGTAAAGGTGTCCCATCCAAAATTTGAACAGCCAAAGCAACAGAAGGCTCCTGGCACAGATACAAGAAAAACGTGCATGTTAGCAAAATTTTAAAAATGTTACGCATCAAAAGCATGATATGGAGAAAGGGAACTACCTTTAGATATGTAACAAGTGCATCCCCCTTTTTCCTTCCTGTCTCCTTGTCAACATAGATCTTCACACGAGGTCTTTTTGTTTCAGGGTCCTATGGATTTTGTCATACTCATGAGATGTGCAACTGAAAATACTATTTATGCATGGAAACAACTTCTATTATTATTAGGTGGATTTTTGGATTAAGCCCCAGCGGGTTAGCTATCCACTGCTGCAGTATACAAGCTGGGGGAATACAATGATTACAATTATCATATACTGGTTACAGATTTGTTCACCACAATGTAACCCAACTCAATAACCCGGGCATTGTCCCACCCAGACGCCCAGCAATACAGAATTACTTGTTAAGATGTGAATGACAAATGTCACGAACTTGTGATTTTCATTAAACCTTTTGGATGGGAAATATAATGTTCGAAACCTCGTAACAGAACTAATGCAACAACACAGCAAGATCTCACATGCAAACACATAATTGCACGAGCCCCCATTCAAGCTATTTAGATATACAGCACAGAGAAATTATGCATGACAGTATAAAGAAAAATTTAGTATGGTTGAACTACTGAAAACTAAGATGAATGAAATACCATAACATCAAATTCAGTCTATGCCTCTCAAAAAGAAAAGCCAGAGATTTACTAAAGTTGCAACACAATTAACACCAGTAACACTTTCATACATGATATCATTATTTGTGTATAACAACATAAGAGTAATTCAGCAATACAACAGAACTAATTTTTAGTCACATTTTATGTTGCTAAGCATTTCAAGTTGGGATTGGTAAACTGAAACATCTACTCAGCATTTTGAACAATTTTATAAATCTTTCTTATCTAGAATGTACAAGTCAAAACTCCATAAAGCTATAATGCATGGATGCACAATGTTTATTTATTGCTGCCATTCTCTTTGTTGCAAACAGAATACCTTTATGTATGCAAAGAAAACTTCAGCTGTTTAACGATGCATAAACAATGTCCAATGAATTATAAACATGTAATACCGGTATTTACCTCCTTGATATTCCACACTTACAGCTCCGCCAACTAATTTTTAGACACATTTTTCAACAATTTTCAACTTTTTTCTTCACATTTTATGTTGCTAAGAATTACAAGTTTTTTAGTACACTGAAAAAACATCCAGTAAGCATTTTAAACAATTCTGTAGATCATACTGATCTAGTCAATCAACAAGCAGATAATACATGTCACTCGAAACTCCTTAAAGTCAGGATGCAGTGCGACGCTAGGATAAATGGTGATTTTTTTTTGCAGACCTCTTTCTAAAGATGTGTTTATCTTTTTGGAGCAAAAAGGATTTACTTATGTATTTGAATGCGAAAAGAGGACTACAGTCACTAACCACTCATAGATAGAGTCAAATAAAACAAAAAAAATCCATGATATGTGTTTTACCTCTTTGATTATTCCGCACTTGGAAAACACCTCAACCAACTGCCACATGTTTCCAAAATTAGAAACTAGCTAAGCAAAAAGAAGAAATGAAAGAGGAAGGAGAGATATTAAGGTTCTAAAGTGAATATTACTTCTTCTGCGGTTACATCATCAGGCAATCCAGTCACATAGACATGTGTATTGACTTTCAATTGAAACCAAGAATCAGGAGGTTTATTAGGTTCCTGCAAAAATATTTTAAATAATAAGGAATATAACAAACAAAGGTCATATCATATGTACAAACTAGACTATTTCAGTCCAAATTAACAAAACATGAACTGACTGTCCATAAAAATAGCTACATAAAACATATCATTCTTTTCTTTGTACTAATATGCTACTAGATGGAAATAGATTGCTTATAGAATAATGCAATTGGAACATTCCACATGGGCATTTCTTAATCTTGGCAAAGGACACAAAATATTGCACCAAAAGAACATTAATAGTACAATAATGATGCCAAAAAATTGAGGAGGACAACTGTGATGCTACTCGGAAACAGCACGTAAGATAAAGAATGTAACTAGGAATAGGTCTTCAAAAAATTATAACAAAGAAAACTCCAAGGAAAGAAAGTATACCTTCTTATCAACTTGTTCCTCCAGCAGTTTTCTCTTGGCATTACAACTTGGTTCCATTTGCTCACCACTGCCACTAGCATCTTCTCTGACAGAGGCATCAGCAGCATCAGTAGCACTTATAGTTGGAAAAACTTCGTCTTCTTTCAAGAATGTCATCTCTTCTACTCCATAGTTCCCATTTTTGTTTGATGTGCTATCCTATTATTCATTATCAGTAACTCATACAATTAAAAAAAAATAAAGGACATTCGAAACTGAATTTTTGAGATATAAGTGATGGTATAGAGATGGAATTTCCAAGAGCAACAACAAAACTAAGAATTTAACCACGATGTGGGGTCAAATATATATAGATCATCACTCCATTGCACCCTATTTAAGACCATATCCTCAATAATCACTAAAAATAAGGTTTTTTTAATAATTTTTATCATGTCCTGTTTAGCCTTCCTCTCATCTTAACATGGACATCCTCCATTAAATCTGATCTTCATGGGAGTTTTTTAGGCCTCTCCTTTAAGTGCTCAAACCACCTTAGGCGTGTCGCTCATTTTATCCTCAATCGATGCTACTCTTGCCTTTTACTTTGTGCACTCATTTCTATAAATATTATTGCTCCTGTATATCCTACATCTAGCATAAAGATGAAATTGCCAATATTGTGACAAATTACAAAATGAGAAATGTAAATTCATAGAAACCAGAAGCCTGCACAACTCTAAAACAATGCTGCATGGGACAACATCAGAACAAAGAAGACAGCAAATGGGCAACCATAATGCCAATTGACCATACATTCACAGAATTTTGGACAAGGAACAAAGATACATAGGACAAAGGAATGAAACAAGTCAGTTACTTCATAATCAAGGCATTTGAGGGAAGATTAAATAATGGAATCCAATCCGTGACGAGCCTCAGCTCTTTTTGTATGTAGCATATCCTAAGTACTACCCATCAAGAGAAACAATATCTTTTTCTATAGTAACAAGTCATGTACTAGAAACACCTCAAATTCAAAATACAAAGCAACACACCGTACATGCCATTTCTCGAAGTAGCACTATCTTGTCACCCACCAAAACAAATGTTTGAACTAGGAACCATGTAAAACTTACACCTACTTACTACTCGAGAAAATACACAAAGTACCCCATAAGTATCATCTTCAAAATGGTAATACGCAAAGACCAAAATGTCATTATCTAGCTCATATCCAAAGACCACCAAAAGATTCTTAAAGGCATCACTCTTGGCAGTTAAGCAACCCAAAAGCAAACAAATTATAGGTCAAATTTTTATAATTATCTATAACTAAACACTCAATTCAGGAGAATCAATTCTTGTTGCATGTAGCATTTCCAAAGCACTACCCATAAAGACAATATTTTCTTTCTCAAGTGAAATGTGCTCAGTGTCAAACTGTCCTTTAAACTCACATTTTGCTCATAGCAACAGAAACACCATAAATTTTGGTGGTCAATGAGCCATAAATCGCATTCCTCCAAATAATGCTATCTAGTCACCCAACATACTAAATGTTTGAATTATGACCTATGGCAACCTTACTGTGCCAATTTATAATTACAATTTACAAGTGTCAATATAAACCATAGATAATGCTTCTCTTCAACCTCATTCTTGGATTAGACATCCATAAGAAAACTAAAATAACAAAGCGAAAACACGTTCCCCATCTATTTCCCCTAGTAGCTCCAACACCAGCAACTAGGTAATACACCATTAGAAGTCACAAAGGAAAATCCAGAAGCAAAACTGAATGAGTCCACTATATCGCTCAATGATTGAATAAACATAGTCGTAGTCCTTTTAAAAGATGACTCTAATAAATGCACCATCATGATGATTACCCATGCAAACCTTAACATCCCTATCCGTCCAAATTCATGCCTAACAAACCTTAAAGCAACAATATGATATTAGCATTATGACTATCACAAATTAACTTAAGCAATTTTCTCCACTAAAAAATTTATGCGAAACAGTGTTTTCAAGGTAATGACTGCCAAAAATATTCTTTCAACTGCAATTAAGGCTTTTGTTTAAATTTTATATTTGAAATACAACTAGATCCTTCCAATCTAAAGATATTTATGACCAATTATACAAAACAAAGAGAAAAAATCGCATATTGTTCAAATGATTCACTAGCTATTCACACTAAGATGCATAAAATTAATATTAAAGGGGAAAAGTATATAAAGTTAACTAATCTTTGATAAACCATTGAAAAATTTCAATGATTTCCTTTTTTTTCAATGCATTTGATAGCTTATTTTAGAAACCACTTAAATGAGAGATTTTATTAAAAAGACTTAAAATATTGAGTTAAATACTACTTAATGTATTCAATCATCTTGTTTAAGGAAAGTCATTAATTACATTAACCCTATATTCTTTCTCTTTTAACTATTTCTCCTTTCCTTTTTAACTTTACTAATGTTAAATACTTATAAAATCTTATATCCAATTAAAAAACATTAAAATAAAAAATCTATTGAGTAATTAAACTTTAGTAGCATACTAAACGGTTTTTTTAGTATAAATAATACTTGAATTTTTCAGAACTAAAATTCCACAATTTTTTCAATGTTGAAAATTTTCATTTTACGAAACATCTTAGTTAAAGAAAACAAACAAGTTAAAAATGAAGTCTCAATAGCATGTAACATTGTAGAAAATAACAAAGAGACAAACCATAGGTCAACTAAAAGATCCAAGTTTAACCATATTTACATATCAACCTATCAAAATGATTAAGGCACCAACCTGAGGAACCCATACTCGCAGACTTCTATCCCACTTGTACCTAGTTCCATCATCATCAATGAATTCTTCTTCACCTTCTGGTGGTGTTAGAGGCCTATCTTGATCATCAAAATCAAAGCCATCACCCATACTTCTAGAAACAGATCCAGTTTTCAATCGTTCTGCCTCTGCCTCTGCTTCTCTAATCTCTCTCTGCCATTTCTCAAATTCATCACTACCATTATCATCATTGGAAGGCACTGCACATTACAATACAGGTTAAGAGGACCTCTACATATAGTGAAGATTTTATAATAAAGATAAAAAATACATCAACCTGCATTTGAATTATCAGCCTCCTTATTGTTCAAAAGAGCATCACCATCAGTTGAGGACACTGTAAACAGTGAACACCACAAAGTGAAAATCTCATCCTGTAGATAAAGATTTTATTTATTTAAAAAATATAAAAGGAGCAACTAGAAGTTGATTTCACCTGTAGCAGAATAATCATTGGCCTTATGAGAAATTTCTGAAACAAACTCAGGAATTGAGGACAGTGGTTGCCACTGACTTCTCCCTTCAGACCATGCAAGTGTACTTTCAGAGAGGTATCCATTTAAGAAATGCTCTGTGCAGGCGAAGTAAATAAGCAAAGCAGATGGTTCAATAGCTCATTAGACCAATTGAACATGTTACAGATGGAATAATTGTCCTGAAACCGTGCTACTGATTACTGGAACTGAAATTCAAGGAGAGAGAAATTCACCAGTAAATTTGTAGTACTCTAAACCAAACAACATAATGAAACTCATAAATTTCTACCAACAAAACAAAATAGTAACCCTTGTTCTGATTTCTTTGTCCAATACAACCTATAATACATCGGCACAGAATTCAAGACAATTATTCCATATTTGAATGCTCACAATGACTTAAAAACATGCATTATGAACAAAACTCACCGCATAACTCAGAAATTGCATAAGGGCCGACATTTTGTTGATCTTCACCAAGTATGTACCAACCTACTTCAGCAACTGCATCCAAACTAGTCTCTGGGCCTGATATGCTACCCGTAATTATATATATGTTCATACGAACAAATCACATCAAAATATCATGACAACAAAAGGGTATTTGTAATGTTAATATAATTCTTCCGTAAAACTTAAAGAAAAGAAAATTTAACTTTTTTTTTCTAACATCAACCGAAGAAAACCTAAGTCCTTTTTTTTTTTTTTTTGCGTAAGAGAAATCATCCCATGTTTCAACTCAAAATCAAACGCATAAAAACGAACTAACCAGACTGTTGAGGATTGTCTGAGCCATCCGAAGACGACATCGTTGTTAGTCTACTGGCTGCAACAGTGTAACGAGGAACAAAACGAGAGCATCAAATATGAAAATAGAAGAAGAAATATGAAGAAGAATCAAGAAAGCGGTTTTGGGGTCTGTTTGGGTCTACTTGACCCGACCCATATTCCAACACAAATTATCCAAAATTAAAGTTTATTTTGTTTTTTAAAATACTAGTGTAAATAAAATTTTAAAACAGGGGAGAGTCGCAGAAAAATTGGTACCCTTAGAAATCCCAACCAATTTAGCTTCTAGCCGCCTCTTGGAAAGCCACCACGGTGTTGCTTTGGAACCTATTAGTGTTGAAATCTTGAGCTATTTCTGTCACCAGCCTTTAGAATGGGAGGTTGGGCTGTGCGTCGATGAGGGGAGGCACAAACAAGACCTGAAAAAGAGGTTGTCTGAAAGTTGAAGCCTAATCTAGAGCTGCGCACTGCGTGGCATTGTTTCTACGTTTACCTTTTTTAGAATAATTTTGGGAAGGTTTTTTTTGGGTTTTTCTTTTTTTTTTTTTTTTTTGAGGAAAGAAAATGTAAAATAGGGTATTCGGTATCCTTGCCAATTTTTTGTTTTATTTTTATGTTTTTAAAATTTTAATTTTATTTTATTCTCATTTTGATAGAAAACATACTTTTGAACTAATGCTATTGTATGGTTTTAAAAACTAAAAACAGAAAACATCTCATATAATTTTTTTAATTTTATAATTTATTAAAATTGAGTATTAAATATTTTTTATTAAATTATATAATTTTCAAATATTATTTATGATGTACAATTTTATCTTTAATTTTGATATTATTAAAATTACTTCATTTTATACAAAATTAAAAATTACATAAAAATTCTTTCATGCTCTATGTATATAAACACAATTAATATTTAAATTTGGTGCAAGTAAATTTTAATATAATAACTAAAAATTTTGCCTGCATTTCGGCAGGACAATTTTTTATTTAAATGTTTTTTATTTTAAATAATATTTTTTACATATTTTACTTGATATAATTAATTAAACTTTAAAAGAGATTACTTAAACAAAATGAAATGTAATATAAAAAATGAAATTAGCACTTAAATATTTTACTTTATGTAAGTATATGAATGTCTTTATTAAAAAGTTAGCTCCCAATCTCCATCTATCAAAACTTGTACTTAACAAAAATAAAGTCTGAATGAATATAATTTCATGCATTATATCATTTAATATAAAATAAGTAAATATTTCAAATATATTATTTAATCATATTTTATTAATTTAATTTTTCATTAATTTCTTTTTTGAAATTATAAAAATAATAGTATGAAATAAAATATTTTTAATAAAACAGATACTTTATTGAAATGACATATAAGGATAAAAATTAAAAACAATTTTAATATTTACATTATAATTGATTAAAATAAATATAATTTATTCTTAATTATCACAAAATTAATAGTTGATTGGTATTTATTGTATTTGATTAAATTCATATTTGTATGCAACATTTTATTTTAATTTTTATTTAATAAAATAGTTTTATCTTATTTTTGTTAGTGTGGATTTTTAATTTACTTTTAATTGATATTTTAATGATTTTTGTTGTTGTTTTTGTGATTTTTGGGAATTTTACTGGTTTTTTACTTGATTTTATGGTTTTTTGCAAAAACAAAAACTCAAAGTTAGCTTTTAATTGACTGCCAAAAGATAATGAATTGAGATCCTACTTTGTATTTTGAGAATTTGTTTAGCTTTTTACCTGATTTCATGATTTTTTTTTTTGAAAAAAAAATCTTAAAATGGGCTTTTAATTGGGCCCTAATAGGAAGTTTAGTTACAGTACTATTAGGACTATTTTTAACATCAAGTTATAAATGTGAAGTGTTTTAGATTAGTTGATACGCAGATTGAAAAAAATTAAATATTACTTTTTTTGTTCAAAAAGACATCATTTTAAAATTTATGCTTATCAATTGAAAAAAAAATTAAATAAAATTTCCTGTAGATGTTGTTCATAGTTGGGAATTCCACCATATTTGATGTTGAACACTTGTTTAAATTACAAAAGTATTATTACAATGTTTTCTATTCATTGAATTATGTTAGAAGATTATCCTTTAACACCAATGGATTGGCATGTTCCTAATGATATTACTAATTTTTTGGAATTTTTTTAACCCACCAAAGTTTTTTTCAGGTATATACAATCCAAATTTCCTATTTTTCTAAATAATATATATATATATATATAAGATTAGTGTTTATTTTACAAAATATAGAAAATATGACATTTTAAAAAATAATTGTGAGCATATGAAAATAAATTTTAAAAATATTGAAAAATGTTTCCATTTTAAATTGTTTGGTTGTGACAATTATCTTATATTAAAATTATAAGATGTAAAAATTGTACTTGAATCTTACTGTTTTAACTGGACAAATGGCATCTCATGAAAGAACAGAGCCATAATATTATACAGGATCAAGAGGATCACCATCAGGAGCTCTTATGAAATCAGATATAATGATTGCCTATTTTAAAACACTAAAGCATGACACAAGTTTCATAATTACAAATTTGACCCTTATATCATAATTTAAGACAAATATTAGTTATCCATGAATTAGGCTTTAATTTTAAATGGGGCAAGCTTAATGTATGGTATAGATAATAAAATTATATAAATATAATTAAAAATGCAAAAAGTGAAATTTATAATACAAAATATAAAAAGGAATGTCTAAGTCCTAATATATACAACAATCAAATATTTTGATATGTATTCCATATTTTAGCAATTTCACCATAAACTCTATGCATATAACGTAATTGTTTTGGTGTCATGTTAAACTCTACATGTTCTTAGGAACTTCTAGCTCCTAAAAGTTCTTCATTATTATTAATTATAAGATTGTTTGCATCATATTCTTTAAACATATTATCTTCCATCCTATGTGTCTTAATAAAATTATGTATTGCATAACAAGCAATGACAATAAAAACATTGCATGCATAGACCATATGGTGGCATTCTTTTTAAAATTGGAAATTGAGCCTTTAAGACTTCAAAACATTGCTTAATATAATTATGCAAAGATAAGTGTCTATAATTGAAAATCTTTTTTGAGTGCATGTGGTTGTCATTCTCTTCCTCTGTAATCTTTTAAATGATATCTTTCACCATGATAAGGAAACAAAAAACTAGACATATTTATATATCTAGAGTCTACAAGATAATATTTACCTACATATTTTTAATTCTCTAAAAAAAATACAAGGTTTAATAAAATGCTAGAAAGTAAGACTATCTTGGGAGACATGGGAAAACCATTTTTAGGATTAGGTACACATTCAACAAAAACTCTAGAATCATTCACAATTCCTTCCTATTCTGCCATCACATATGTAAATTGCATATCAAATGAACAGGTACACATTATTCTATCTATGTTGGTTCTACTTTTTTTCCACAATAAGAAATTTGTTGTTTAGTAGGACCATGTGCAACAATGTGCATTCCATCTATTGCACCAATGTTATTCTATAAAAAATATGTATGTCACTAACTATTATAAGTTTTGTTGTTGATAAATAAGAAAAAACTAATGAATTATTTCACCTTAAAAATGGATAATATCTTTGATCATGTTGAATCTGAAAAGGAATTATATCGAATGATGGTGGAATTATGATTCCTTTCCCAAGACGACAAACAATCTTTAACACATTTTTAAAATATTGACAAATAGTTTCTCTTAAATATTGAAACAATTTTGTAAAAACTCAATTCCGTTCATTATGTGCCAATTAAAGTAAATAAAAAGATAACTACTTGTTCTTCCATTGTCAAGTGCTTGGAGTTTTGTAATGATTCTTATTCATTTAATGCATCACAAAAATATATTAAAAAAAGGTGATTCCATTTGTAACTCATCAAAACACCTAAGTTTGTTCTCATGAAGAATTTCTTGAACATATGTATAACATGTTAATTGAGATCTTAAGGCTGTTTAAGTAAGTACCTATTATAATATTATTTAACAACTATAATTTGTAAAATATCTTCCACCCAATCTTCTTCATCATCAAACTCGATAAGTGACACAATTTGTATCATCTTATTATGATCCATCATGTAAATATGATATATCAATCATATAAGTAAACTAAAATATTAAAAAATTTCAATTGCATATTAAAATTTCATAAAAAATTCATAAAAGATTTTTGATTAAAGGCTAATAAAAATAGTGAAATGCATATTAAAATAGAATTAAACTCCATTCATACATGTAGTTAAAAGTATCAAGCTTAGAAACTACATTTTAAGTAGCATATTCCATTAAGAAGTAGAAAGAAAAATAAACATAAATGTCACAAATAAAAATCAAGACAAAAAAAGATGTTCTAAGATTGGAAAAACATGACAATTAGAAATAAGTTGACTTTAAATTAAAAACCAAATATTTCTTCCTTTTATCAATCATTTAAAGAAAATTTCTCTCTTCAATCTATCATTATGAAATTTTTTTGTAGCATTGGCATAAAATATCCTATCAATACCATCAAGTTTTTCTAATGCCTCTAAACTCTCTTTTAAGAATTTTCTTCTAGTTGATCTAGTTAGATCCAAAAAGAGCTTCGAATAAATGTCCTCAGTAGATGCCTCTGAATGAGCAGAACAAATTGAACTAATTAACTATTAAGCTCTCCCATATGTCAACTTTTCTTCTAGAATTTTCACTAATAAAGTTAATCGTAAATTGCATTATAATGAAACTTCGGTGAATAATAGGAGTAGTAGAATGGGTACACTTTTTAGTATTACTACAGTTGGTAGTAACACTACCATCACCTTTTGCTTCTTCTTTTAATTCTTTGTCTATGTCATAAGTAAGTTTCATTCACTCCTTGACACTATCTGATGGATAATGTATAAAAGGTCATGCATTTGATCTAGTGGCAAAAGCATCTCCATAAATAACACATAATTCTTTATCTTCGAATAAATGTCCTCAGTAGATCCCTCTGAATGAGCAGAATAAGTTGAACTAATTAACTATTAAGCTCTCCCATATGTCAACCTTTCTTCTAGAATTTTCACTAATAAAGTTAATCGTAGATTGCATTATAATGAAACTTTGGTGAATAATAGGAGTAGTAGAATGGGTACACTTTTTAGTATTACTACAGTTGGTAGTAACACTGCCATCACCTTCTGCTTCTTCTTCTAATTCTTTATCTATGTCATAAGTAAGTTTCATTCACTCATTGACACTATTTGATGGATAATGTATAAAAGGTCGTGCATTTGATCTAGTGACAAAACATCTCCATAAATAACACATAATTTATCATATAATGGATAATCTTTTTCTCTGAAATCTTTTAGCAATATTATAAACGTATATAAAAAAATAAATATATCATTAAAATAAAACTTAAAATATATAAACATTTGCACTATTGAAATTAAGTAACTTACAGCATATAGATGGCACCATGTTTCCGCCATGGCAATAACTTTTCA